CTTAATTCTTGTTGTTCTGAATTGGTTTCCTCTCGATTGATTGCAGTTTTCCGCATAATGAAGGTACAGCTCACCCTAACCCTCTATGGACACATTTTTTACCCCCTTTTCACCCTCTGTTAACCATTATCTCACTTTTTAAGGTTTATTAAAGTGAAATATGCGGTTTAGGGTAATTGCAGACTCTAAATCCCTTTAGGTGTGAACAGTACCCTTCCTCTCGCTCAATGTCAGCTGTGATTGGCTCACGCCTCCTAACGACACTTAAGGATAAACGCTAACGGAGGGATGAGACTCTTTATTATTGTAATATAGTGATGTAGAATCCACTTTCCATTGACGTCACTAATTCGAGGTGGAAACACTGACGTGAGAATTACCCAAAAAACTCCCATCTTTAAGCTTCTCTCCCCCTTTCCTCCCCCATCCCCTCTGTGTACTGCAGACCCATCAGTGTGTCACTGTGCATCAGAGTCACTGCTATCAGCCTGCACACACACCGCAGAACACACACTCACATTATTACATTCCCACAATGCACTGCATGGAGGCGATGTGATATGTAGCATGAAGGGGTTTTGGCAGGTAGAGAATAGAGAGGATATAGGAAGTCTTATCGTGCACCCCCCCCCCACCCCCTTACTCATTATTTTACAATTCAGCTCCAGAAATCATCTCAAGGAGAAGAGAAAATGGTGTGTGTGTGTGTGTGTGTGTGTGTGTGTGTGTGTGTGTGTGTGTGTGTGTGTGTGTGTGTGTGTGTGTGTGTGTGTGTGTGTGTGTGTGTGTGTGTGTGTGTGTGTGTGTGTGTGTGTGTGTGTGTGTGTGTGTGTGTGTGTGTGTGTGTGTGTGTGTGTGTGTGTGTGTGTGTGTGTGTGTGTGTGTGTGTGTGTGTGTGTGTGTGTGTGTGTGTGCAGCGACATGCTGCAGCACTTTCTCTATTGGTTTGCAGGCGTCACACAGAGAGGCGTCCCTACATGTTTCTTAAAGAAGGGTCTTTTAGCAAAGAGAACTTAAAGGTCCCGTGTCACGGCCATCTCTACTGATCATAGTTCCATTGTTGAGGTCTACTAGAATAGATTCACATTGTTCAATGTTCCAAACTCACATTGGTTTCTCACAGCATCTCTGTAAAGTGTGTGTATTCACTCTCTGTCCTACACGGCTTGTTGGAGCTCCTGCCCCCCCCCCTCCCTGTGAGCCCACTGTGCTCTGATTGGTCGGGACGTTGCGAGGAGCGGACAGGTTTCCGGGTCGGCGATAGAGCGAGAACAAGCGAAACTCATCCTGAGCACACACACACTCACAGCCGAAGTAAAAACAATAAGTGTGGCTTGATATTGAGTAAGAGGTTTCTAACGCTGTGAGAATGGGTCTGCGGAGAGCATTCCTCCTCCATCCCAACTCGTCTATTACCAGCGTTCAGGGAGCTCTATGCAAGTCAATGGGACTCCCTGTTAGTTAGCCAAGGGACCCTGGTGTGTGAGGAGCTCCAAGGATTGGTCCATTTGGGCCAATCCGGTCATTTGTTGTTGATCTGGGTTTTCACACGTCACAGAACCCAGGAAGCAAACCATGGAAAAAGAGAAATGTCCAACGAGGCGTTCTGGGGCAGCACAGACAGGTCTTCTCTGTGTTAGAGTGTTACTCCCTACAGGGTGCACTTTGAGGGTTTGTGACTGCAGACCGTTTACATGCAGACATGGGAGTCCCAGCAGCTTCTACTGAAGCCAGTCCCCAACTCCGGGGACTTCCGGCCGGGGACTTTGGGCGGCAGTATACGCCGTGAAGTGGTTTGCGGCCTGCCAGTAAACCCAAAGCAGAAGAAGAAGAAGTGACGTCAGCGGCTTCATTTGCCTAATCCACCCTCAGGGAACTTATTCCGGTGTGAACGCGATCTGTACTTTAGTTCATGAGAACTAAAGAGTTCACATGAACTAAGTTCTCATGAACCTTTGTGGGAAAAGTACTGCAGTGTGAATGCGCCTAATGAGACGGGTGATAACCAGAAAAGCATGACATGGGACCTGTAAAGCTGTGTCTAGTTAGTGGCTGTATGGAGAAATGGAAAGGGTTGTTATCTCGCTAAATAAAACCTTTCTACGACTTCTTTCTGCACACCTCTCAAAGATTCAAAGAGTCAAGATTGAAATGTTTTATTGTCATATAAGCTGCAGTGTAGAAATGGCAATGAAATTCTTCTGAGCTGAGCTCCTCCAACAATGCAGACCTCTGGAATGTCCAAATAGACCAATCAGAATCGAGTATTCAACTGAGCCGTGTGATAAGCGGGATGATGTGCAGCGAGGCGGTCGTGAAGGGTGTTCTTCATAGCGACCGCCTCGCTGCACATCACCCCGCTTATCACACGGCCACATTCTCAACAAAGTAACGACATGACTCCCAATATTAATTCAACTGCTTTTATAGATTTAAAAAAGTGTTGTATTGATTTAAATTTACATGCATCCGCTAAGAAAAGTAGTCCGTTGTTACTGTTTGAACTAACGTAGCAACGGCAGCAGGAAGTGCTTCCATAGCGTTTTTGAGGAGCTTTTTGATACAGATTTGAAAACATCGCTGCTTGCTTTAAAAGTAGCACACTTCATTTTGTCAAACCTTGGAGAGTATCTAGAGATCCTGCCCTGATGCCAAAGGAACTGCACACTGAATATGTGTCGCCGTTTGATCTCTATGTCCGGACCTCTCTCCTCCTCCCTTCCTCCTTTCCTCCTTTCCTCCTTTCCTCCTTTCCTCCCTTCCTCCCTTCCTCCCTTCGTCTTACCTCCCTTCCTCTTCCCTTCCTCCTCCCTTCTACCCTTCCTTCCTCTCCTCTTCCTCCCTTCTACCCTTCCTTCCTCTCCTCTTCCTCCCTCCTCCTCCCTTCGTCTTACCTCCCTTGCTCTTCCCTTCCTCCTCCTCTCTTCTACCCTTCCTTCCTCTCCTCTTCCTCCCTCCTCCTCCCTTCCTCCCTTCCTCCTTTCCTCCCTTCCTCCTTTCCTCCCTTCCTCCCTTCCTCTTCCTCCTCCTCCCTTCCTCCCTTCCTTCTTAGAAATAATAAATAATGCATAGACCACAGAACAATGGAGTTTGGCCAGACTGCAATAAGGCACAGTGGAAACACACCTTCTCTCCTCCTTCCTTCCTCCTCCCTTCCTCCTCTCCCTCT